GCTGCCCTGGCTTTGCAAGACCTGAGCTGTTGAGGATCGGAGGTCATGGAGATCGCTCATTCACAGGGAAGCCATACATCAAAGTTACAAGCTGGGTAGATGCGGGGAATGCTGTGGATGTAGCATACCTGGATTTCAGGAAGGCCTTCGACAAGGTCCCCCATGACCTTCTGGCAAGGAAACTAGTCCAATGTAGGCGAGGCAAAACTACAGTGAGGTGTTTCTGTAATTGGTTAAGCAGATGAACCCAGAGGGTGATTCTCCCCAATGCTTCCTCTTCTTCATCCTGGAAAGAAGTGACGAGTGGAGTGCCATCAGCAGGGTTCCCTCCTGGGTCTTGCTCAGGATCTTTATTAATGACTTAGATGAAGGGTTAGAAGGCAGGATCATCAACTTTGCAGACGACACCAAATTGGGAGGGAGAGCCAATACTCCAGAGGACAGGAGCAGGATTCAAAACGATCCTGACAGATTAGAGAGATGATGGGCCAAAAGTAACACAATGAAGTTCAACAGGGACAAATGCAAGATACTCCATTTAGGCAGAAAAAACGAAATGCAAACATACAGAATGGGGGACGATGAGGCCTGGCTCGAGAGCAGTATGTGTGAAAAAGATCTTGGAGTCCTTGTGGACAGCAAGTTAAACATGAGCCAACAATGTAACGCTGCAGCTAAAAATGCCAATGGGATTTTGGCCTGCATCAAGAGGAGCATAGTGTCTAGATCTAGGGAAGTCATGCTCCCCGTGCTCTATTCTGCCTTGGTCAGACCACACCTGGAAGCTAGGGCTAACAAGTAGGAAATTTAGGTACCACTTTATGCAGGGAGGCTAATTTAACTAATTTAGGATGCCATAAAACCTTCCAGCAGTGTGCAGAAGCAAGAGGAAGTACTCCATTAAGGACTCGGTGTCACAAATGGACAGTGAAGTGGCAGCTCCTCATGTGGCCGGAACCGAGCATACCCTCATGAAGCCAGAAATCTGGAATGTTAAATTGCCTCTTTTCCAATCTCTGTCATCCTATGAAACTAGTTTAGTTTCACTGATATCGGATCCGTTCGTTGCTCACAAAATGAGACAATTCAATGCAACTCTGTGAGAGATTCATGCTCCGAACTCCATCCAAAGGCGCATTGATCTTGCCATCATTACACTCTATCAGTCCACAGGATAAAGTCCTAGGACGATGACTCTGAAGGGTCCAAATATCCCTAAATTAGAGGTATAATCATTATTTTTCCCAAGGTGTCTCTGCAAAAGGCACGATTTGCATCTCCGACATTTACTGGCAAGGTTTGCAAAAGCTGCTTCAGATGTTGCCCTGGGGGAAAGGGATCCATAGCCTTTGTGGCTGAATATCATGATGGCAATCCATCAATGCCAAAGAATGAATTAGGATAACAGTGATTGTGGACTTGGAAACAGATGCAAAGCTTCCAGGACATGAAAGCTGCTGTCTTGTTGGCAGAGCTGGAAACTTTGGCAGCGGGAAAAGTAGGTCAAAGACAGATCTATGGAGGTGGGCCGGCATCCTGTTAGCGCAGGCATGGGCCAACTTGGACCCTCCCTCCAGGTGTTTTGGACTTCAACTTCCATAATTCCTAACAGCCGGTAGGCTGTTAGGAATTATGGGAGTTGAAGTCCAAAACACCTGGAGGGAGAGTCAAAGTTGGCCCATGCTTGTATTAGTGTTGACATTGCCCTGGACTGGGTGCAACTTATTAAAATTCCATATATGTATGCATATACATACATATACACACACATACATTCATATATACATATGGTTTCTGTTTCGCTCCTGTGATTTATTGCCTAAAGTATGAACTGTGAACAGTTCCTGTATATGTCACACATTGCAATGACCGTGGATTTGAGATAACGGACTGCCAGGGAACAAGCAAGACGCGTTTGTGATTTCTTCTGTACATAGTTATGTGTTTGTTATTTTCTGTAGTTTTTAAAAAATAAAGTACCACTTTAAGGATTTGAAGTTGATAAAGGACTGTGCGCTCTATTTTTATTGCGTGCCTCATTGTAGTTGCACTGAGGCCGAATTTTATTGACATCTATAAATGAGCACCTGGGATACAGCAAATCAGTGCTATATCCATCAGAGCCAAGTCAATTGTATTACATTTCTAACAGAACAAAACAAACAGACAAAACACAAAGTCTGCAAGTTTGGTACTTGATTAAATGTCCTTTGACCAGTATCTGGCCACTTGGAATGCCTCTGGTGTTGCCGCAAGGAGGTCCTCCATTGTGCATGTGGCAGGGCTCAGGTTGCATTGCAGCAGGTGGTCAGTGGTTTGCTTCTCTCCACACTCGCATGTCGTGGATTCCACTTTGTAGCCCCATTTCTTGAGGTTGGCTCTGCATCTCGTGGTGCCAGAGCGCAGTCTGTTCAGCGCCTTCCAAGTCGCCCAGTCATCTGTGTGCCCAGGGGGAGTCTCTCATTTGGTATCAGCCATTGGTTGAGGTGCTGGGTTTGAGCCTGCCACTTTTGGACTCTCGCTTGCTGAGGTGTTCCAGCGAGTGTCTCTGTAGATCTTAGAAAACTATTTCTTGATTTAAGTCGTTGACGTGCTGGCTGATACCCAAACAAGGGATGAGCTGGAGATGTCTCTGCCTTGGTCCTTTCTCTATTGGCTGCTACTTCCCGGCGGATGTCAGGTGGTGCAATACCAGCTAAGCAGTGTAATTTCTCCAGTGGTGTAGGGCAGACACCCCGTGATAATGCGGCATGTCTCATTCAGAGCCACATGCACTGTTTTAGTGTGGTGAGATGTGTTCCACACTGGGCATGCATACTCAGCAGCAGAGTAGCATAGCACAAGGGCAGATGTCTTCACTGTATCTGGTTGTGATCCCCAGGTTGTGCCAGTCAGCTTTCGTATGATATTGTTTCTAGCGCCCACTTTTTGCTTGATGTTCAGGCAGTGCTTCTTGTGGGTCAGAGCATGGTCCAGAGTGACTCCCAGGTATTTGGGTGCGCTGCAATGCTCCAGTGGGATTCCTTCCCAGGTGATCCTCAGAGCTCGGGATGCTTCTCTGTTCTTAAGGTGAAAGGCACATGTCTGTGTTTTAGATGGGTTGGGGATCAGCTGGTTTTCCCTGTAATAGGCAGTAAGGGCACCTAGAGCTTCGGAGAGCTTCTCTTCTACCATCTCAAAGCTCCCTGCTTGAGCAGTAATTGATGTTGGGTGAGACTCTACTGTACTTTCAAAGTAAGGAGCACACAACGAAATAGGAAACAACACTTTAAAACAAAAAAAAAATCAATTGTGGTTACACAGAGTCATTTCTTGACTCTTTCCAATCCCTTCTCCACATCCTGCTTTCTTCTTACCTCCGTCACTCTCGTTTTCGGCCAAAGGACGTCACTTCTGACCTTCCTCTGGCCTCTTTGGCCACCCCAGAGCTGGACAAGACCCTCGTCAGTCCCAGGAACCTGGTTCCTGCACTGAGACCCCCCTCCTGTCCTGACGAAGCCCTTGGCCCTCGATGCAGTGGTCAACAGACGTCAATCCCAAGGCTTGCGGAGATACCTGCTGCTCCCGGCGTGGGGCCGAAGAACGGCCAGCCAGCCATGCCTCTTTCCGCTTCCCTGACCCAGTGATATCATGCACAGGGGTTAATTTGGAGGCATTCCCGGCAAAACAGCTTGACCTTTCAGCGGACGAGAAAGCCAATTTTCCTCGCCTTTGTTTTCCACTGGCTCTTGTACATTTGCTATTCATTCTGTCTCCAAAGACTCTGGTTACCCCATGGGCCCTAAACTTGGGCCCTCCAGGTGTTTGGACTTCAACTCCCACCATTCCTAACAGCCTCAGGCCCCTTCCTTTCCCCCCTCAGCCACTTAAAGGAAAAGGAAAAGGAAGGGGCCGGAGGGTGTTTATAATCAATTTAAATAAAAATATAATGTTCAATGTATTGTCAAAGGCTTTCATGGCTGGAATCACTGGGTTGTTGTAGGTTTTTCCGGGCTATATGGCCATGTTCTAGAAGCATTCTCTCCTGACGTTTCGCCTGCATCTATGGCAAGCATCCTCAGAGGTAGTGAGGTCTGTTGGAACTAGGAAAAAGGGTTTGTATATCTGTGGAATGACCAGGGTGGGACAAAGGACTCTTGTCTGCTGGAGCTAGGGGTGAATGTTTTAACTGACCACCTTGATTAGCATTTGATATCCTGGCAGTGCCTGGAGCAAACTTTTGTTTTGAGAGGTGATTAGATGTCCTTGTTTGAACCCCTTCTCTGCTGGAACAAATCTTAACAAAACAATTACGAAACTTTGGGGATTCGGTTTACTAATCGAAATGAGACCCCTCCAAATCTTTATGAAGCAAATTGGGGGCCATCCAAATCTCCAAAACAATTTTCAGCCTGGGTTGTTGTAGGTTTTTTCGGGCTATATGGCCATGGTCTAGCACCAACAGCTGCTCTGAGATCAGAGTGAAGAGAAGGGCCAGGAAGGCAGTCCCATCTTGTCTCCTGCATTGTGCTTATAATATAATGTAATATAATATAATATAATATAATATAATATAATATATTGGGTTGTTGTAGTTTTTTTCAGGCTGTATGGCCATGTTCTAGAAGCATTCTCTCCTGACATTTTGCCTGCATCTATGGCAAGCATCCTCAGAGGTAGTGAGGTCTGTTGGAACTAGGACAATTGGGTTTATATATCTGTGGAATGACCAGGGTGGGACAAAGGACTCTTGTCTGCTGGAGCCAGGTGTGAATGTTTCAACTGACCACCTTGATTAGCATTCTTTGTCCCACCCTGGTCATTCCACAGCTATATAAACCCATTTTCCTACTTCCAACAGACCTCATAACATCTGAGGATGCTTGCCATAGATGCAGGCGAAACGTCAGGAGAGAATGCCTATAGAATACGGCGATATAGCTCAAAAAAACCTACAACAACCCAGTGATTCCGGCCATGAAAGCCTTTGACAATACAATACAAGGAGAAAGCTCCACATCTTGTGATTCTAAGTAGTTTCTTTATTACAGGAAAAAGTTGCTCTTAGTTCAACGAAGGCACTCTCTGCCTACACAAAATGCCACAATAGTTTTTACAACATCTGCAAAGTTGGTGCTTTGAAGGAAAATAAAAACATTAAGAAGACGCTTGGTTGTTCCAGGACTTCCTAAAACATCCAACATTTGAGAAGGTGAAGCAAATCAGTTCTGGGTGGGCAACTTATGTTATTATGTCAGGCTCATCGTTTGTGGTGTTTGCAATGTCAAATCAGGAGAGAAGAGAGGTCAAGTGTTGCCTTAACACAATGCATTCTGCCACCGTCTGCATCCAGAGAAGAGGAAACTGCAGAAATAATATCTTAATACACTGGAGGAATTACGAAATATAATTTCTTATTCTTCCTATTGTGGTGCCTTGGTTGTACATGGGTTATTGTGATTCCCATGACCCTTGCTTCGGCCTCCTGCTACAAATCAGTATAATTTTCCTTCCCAATAACAGCTCTCAAAAGTCTCCATCATGTAATCTGAATCCATCACCAAGAAAACGAAAGGATTTGTACAGCTTGTGTCAAGCATGGGCAGCTCTGAAAATACATATATAAAGTCATAATCCATGTGATGCTGTCTCCCACATTTGGAACACGGCAATCTGATGCACACAAAATCTTGTCTCTGGCAGCTTATTTCTGTTCAGTTCAGCCACAAAAGCGTTCCTCAAGTGGCTCCCGGTCCTGTTCTCTCACTTACACAGTAAGTACGTGTGTTTTTGATCTCAAGCAACGCCTCCACGCTGGAGCGCAACGGGAGGTCATTTCTTCAGGAAGAAGCCCATGATGGAGGCTTGCTTGTTGGCTTTGCTGGCCACAGACACCCCTTTCTTGGCCCCCTTTTTCTCTTCTTTGGGCTCCTTCTTTGTGGCCCCAGCAGGTGGTTTAGGAGCCGAGGGGGGCTTGGACCGGAAATCTTCTTCGCTGTCTGTACAGGACTCGCTCTCGTAAACCTTTTCGGTCACTGAAAACAAAGGGAGGAGGAGATTTATTTGTTTGTTTGTTTCGAACATTTTTACCCCGTCCTTCTCAACCCCTGTGGGGACTCAGGGTGGCTTCCAATTGGCAATAATTCAATGCCGCATCATAAAATACAAAATAGCAAATTGTTGTTGTTGTTGTTCATTCGTTCAGTCGTCTCCGACTCTTCGTGACCTCATGGACCAGCCCACGCCAGAGCTCCCTGTCGGCCGTTACCACCCCCAGCTCCCTCAAGGTCAGTCCAGTCACTTCAAGGATGCCATCCATCCATCTTGCCCTTGGTCGGCCCCTCTTCCTTTTGCCTTCCACTTTCCCCATAGCAAATGCCTTGCAGGATGCTACACAATAAAAACAGAATCATAGAATCATAGAATCAAAGAGTTGGAAGAGACCTCATGGGCCATCCAGTCCAATCCCCTGCCAAGAAGCAGGAATATTGCATTCAAATCACCCCTGACAGATGGCCATCCAGCCTCTGTTTAAAAGATTCCAAAGAAGGAGCCTCCACCACACTCCAGGGGCAGAGAGTTCCACTGCTGAACAGCTCTCACAGTCAGGAAGTTCTTCCTCATGTTCAGATGGAATCTCCTCTCTTGTACTTTGAAGCCATTGTTCCATTGCGTCCTAGTCTCCAAGGAAGAAGAAAACAAGCTTGCTCCCTCCTCCCTGTGGCTTCCTCTCACATATTTATACATGGCTATCATGTCTCCTCTCAGCCTTCTCTTCTTCAGGCTAAACATGCCCAGTTCCCTACGCCGCTCCTCATAGGGCTTGTTCTCCAGACCCTTGATCATTTTAGTCGCCCTCCTCTGGACACATTCCAGCTTGTCAATATCTCTCTTGAACATTAATAAATGAAGATTAAACAGCTTACTTCCGATCCATTTAGCTATTGTCCGTCTGGTGGCTATCTATCTAGCCATATACTAATGATTACTCCACTTAACTTATCCAAATCCACTTCCAAGCCATAGTCAAACATTATCAATTGTCCTTTAACCTAATGGCCCGAAGGCCTGGTCCCACAACCACGTTTTTACCTTCTTTCTAAAGTTGAGGAGGGATGACAGTGACCTGGAGGCATTACTTTGCATTGCTTAAGTCACACTGACCGACCGACTGCGCAGGGTTCCATACTTCACACTTTAACAACACAACCATTCAATGCTAAGGCTTCCCGTCAAAGCTGAACTGTAGAGGAGAGTCTATTGAACAAGCCAGTACCTGCCGCATACCAGTACTGCAATCTATTGAGGAGTTACGAAGGTGGAGGCATTACTTTTCATTGCTTAAATCACATTTACTGACCGTCTGCGCAGGGTTCCATACTTCACACTTTAACAACACAACCATTCAATGCTAAGTCTTCCTGCCAAAATGGAACTGTAGAGGAGAGTCTACTGAACAAGCCAGTACCTGCCGCATACCAGTACTGCCATCTATTGGTGCCATCTACTGCCATCTAGGGGCTTTCCACAGAAGTTGAGGAAGCAGGAACCCATTTTGTTTCCTTCTGCTTCAGGGTAAGCTTTGTTTAAATTTAAACTGCTTTCAGCACTGCTTTGTTTGAGAGGTGGGGCTTCCTGAGTTTAAAAATTAACTGCTTTGTTTGAGAGGAGAGGCTTCCTGAGTTTATAATTAACTGCTTTGTTTGAGAGGAGGGGCTTCCTGAGTTTATAATTAACTGCTTTGTTTGAGAGGAGAGGCTTCCTGAGTTTATAATTAACTGCTTTGTTTGAGAGGAGAGGCTTCCTGAGTTTATAATTAACTGCTTTGTTTGAGAGGAGGGCTTCCTGAGTTTATAATTAACTGCTTTGTTTGAGAGGCGGGGCTTCCTGGTTATCCTATATAAACCAGTGTCTGAACCCAAGGGGCAGCTGGGCTCTCCACAGAAGTTGAGGAAGCAGGAACCCATTTTGTTTCCTTCTGCTTCAGGGTAAGCTTTGTTTAAATTTAAACTGCTTTCAGCACTGCTTTGTTTGAGAGGAGGGGCTTCCTGAGTTTATAATTAACTGCTTTGTTTGAGAGGAGAGGCTTCCTGAGTTTATAATTAACTGCTTTGTTTGAGAGGAGGGGCTTCCTGAGTTTATAATTAACTGCTTTGTTTGAGAGGAGGGGCTCCTGAGTTTAAAATTTAACTGCTTTGTTTGAGAGGCGGGGCTTCCTGGTTATCCTATATAAACCAGTGTCTGAACCCAAGGGGCAGCTGGGCTCTCCACAGAAGTTGAGGAAGCAGGAACCCATTTTGTTTCCTTCTGCTTCAGGGTAAGCTTTGTTTAAATTTAAACTGCTTTCAGCACTGCTTTGTTTGAGAGGAGAGGCTTCCTGAGTTTATAATTAACTGCTTTGTTTGAGAGGAGAGGCTTCCTGAGTTTATAATTAACTGCTTTGTTTGAGAGGAGGGGCTTCCTGAGTTTATAATTAACTGCTTTGTTTGAGAGGAGGGGCTTCCTGAGTTTAAAAATTAACTGCTTTGTTTGAGAGGCGGGGCTTCCTGGTTATCCTATATAAACCAGTTTCTGAACCCAAGGGGCAGCTGGGCTTTCCACAGAAGTTGAGGAAGCAGGAACCCATTTTGTTTCCTTCTGCTTCAGGGTAAGCTTTGTTTAAATGAACTCATACACTCAGTAACCTATACTTCCACCCCTGCATACAGACAACATCAAACAAACACCAAGAGGAGGTCATTAGCAACCTCCAGATGGAACAAACACGAAAACTTCCCGTCTCATGCACAAGCTGTGGCATGTTCAGCTTTTTCACACTACAATTACTCAATTACATCTGCCCCAAGTGTACACAGATCACTCGCATGGAACACAGGATACGACAACTCGAGGACCGTATTAAGACCCTTAAGGACATTCAGGAACTTGAGCTCTTCTTAGACACCACACACCACACTGTCCTAGACACGCAGCCCATATCACACCAACATTACGAGGAGGCTCAACAGAACAGCACCTCAGATGTCGACAACCCTCAGGCTTGGAGAAATGTCACCCTTAGAAGGACACATAGGACCCGGAAGCCTCCTCAGAATACTTCCGCTCAGCTGCAGTTACACAATAGATTCCAAATTCTCACACAACTAGCACCTGACCAAGAAACACAACATATTGGGGAAGACCAGAATGGCTTAGATACTGATCAGTGGCTCATCCTTGATCAGTGTGCAGGGGATAGCCCTGACTGGGACAACACTTCACAACATTCACACTTGCACAATCGTGCAGGTGTACCATCCCCAACCATAGACCAGGAGCAATAGGAACACATACAGGAGAACCATAGGCTCTTGGACGAATCTCAATGGATTGTCCTTGACGAATGCACCGGGGATGTCGAGGAGGAGGACAACACTTTTCACCTACACAATTCACACCAACAGGATCACTTTTCTGGAGACCTACACACTACATTGCACAAAAGGGACCCTGTCAATCCTGAAAGTAAACAGGTCTTGGTAGTAGGCGACTCCCTCCTTAGAGGAACGGAAGCTGTCATTTCCAGACCAGATGGGATGGCTCGAGAAATATGCTGCCTACCGGGGGCAAAAATACACCATATCACTCAGAAGCTCACCAGGCTCCTCAAGCCCTATCACCGTCCTCCCCTCATGTTGATTCATGTAGGAACCAATGATACTGCAAGGCATACGTTTCAAAAGATCACAAATGATTTTCGAGCTCTAGGAGCAAAGCTAAAAGAATGTAATGTACAGGTGGTCTTTTCATCCCTCCTCCCTGTTGTAAGACACGGACCCACAAGAGCCAGAAAAATAGTACAGGTCAATGACTGGCTTAGAAAATGGTGTCAGGAGGAACGCTTTGGCTTCCTCGACCATGGCCTGCTTTTCCAGGAGGATGGCCTACTGGCAAGGGATGGGGTGCATCTCACACAAGTAGAAAAACACCTTTTTGCTCACAGACTCGCAAACCTCATTAGACGCACTTTAAACTAGGTCCACCGGGGGAGGGGGACAACAGCCTTGCGAACACTACTTTACCCATAATGTCTGGGAATCGCCAGAAGGCTAAACGGAGGGCTGCACAAACACAACAAGGACCAAGTACCAAAAGCACAATAATCCCAATTAAACAGCTCAAGGGAAGATCCCAGGGGCTCACATGTCTTTACACTAATGCACAGAGCATGGGAAATAAACAAGACGAACTCCAACTTTTAGCACAACACCACAAATATGATATCATAGGCATCACTGAAACCTGGTGGGATGACTCCTATCGCTGGAATGTAGATATCGAGGGGTATAACCTCTTTCACAGAAACCGAACAAAGGGGAGAGGAGGCGGAGTAGCCTTATATGTCAAAAACTCTTATGCTGCAGAAGAGATTCAAGACAGCAATCTGGGAAACCAGCTTGAAATCATCTGGATAATAATCAAGGGAACTGGGACTCAAAAAGATGTCGTTGTAGGCGTCTACTACAGACCCCCAAGCCAGGAGGAAGAACTTGATGAAGTCTTCTGCCAACAGTTGACCAAACAGGCACAGAAAAGAGATGTAGTAGTCATGGGCGATTTCAACTATCCCGATATTTGCTGGAAAACAAACTCGGCCAAGAGTACAAGGTCCAACAAATTCCTCGCTTGCCTTGCAGACAATTTCATGGTCCAGAAGGTAGAAGAGGCAACAAGGGGATTGGCTACTCTTGATCTCATCCTAACAAATGCGGAGGACCTGATCGATGCGGTCGAAGTGGTAGGATCCTTAGGGGCAAGTGACCATGTGCTCCTGCAATTTGAGGTACAAAGGAAGGCCGAAACTAAGACAAGTCAAACCCGCATTCTGGACTTTAGGAGAGCTGATTTCCAAAAAATGAAGGAAACACTGAGCAGCATTCCGATGGACACAGATACTAAAAGACAAGGGAGTTACGGATGGATGGGAATTTCTCAAGAGTGAAATACTCAAGGCGCAATTGCAAACCGTGCCAAAAAAAGAGAAAAAATAGGACAA